ACCACCCATGCAAAGTTTGAATGAAATAGGTACTATTTACTGAGATCTCACTTGAGTCCCGTGGCCCACCTTCATTTACTATCAAGATATATTTTATTTAGCTTAATGACCAACGGAGTTAACGAACAGCGCAAATTCGCCAGTTGGTTAACTTACTGTGTTGATGTTCACATATACTTTATGGTTCAAACCTAGTAGAATAGGTGGCTAGTATAGGTGCCTCCCTTAAGCTAACGAACAGTGTCAATTCACCAGTTGATTAACTTACTAATCAATGTTACATTCTAGGTTTCCATAATTTGTATGTATATTATATTTATATTTCTAAAATATTGATATTTATAATTTCTATTGAAATAAATCAAATTCACTCATCGAAAAACAGATGTCTAACTTAAGTGTCATCCGGGGTGAATACCCGAATGCCATGTGGTTATTGGATTACATTGATAATATTTTGAAGAAAATATCTGGCCCTTATTCTAGGGGATCCCGGCGATATTTCAAGAAAGTTACATTATACTTTATACCCTTGAAAATACAGATATTATGTTCGTCTAAACTAGACTACGTACTACTTTTATCTAGCGTTGTGACGGCGTCTATTTGGTTACGTCGAAGTGTTAAGCGTCGCCTTGCGTCATGACGCCTAGCGACGGATATACGGTAGGAAATACTTAGGTGATGCTGTGTGACGAAGAGTGGCGAAAAACGTTCGGTAGATATGTCGTCGGGACGTAGAAAGGTAGGGAAGTAGGTCGGCGGGACACTGATCGTCAGGACCTGACAGTTTTGGGGGGTTAGGAAGTATTGTAGGATAGACGTCGGATAGGAAGAGCGTCGATTTAGGAATGATACTGAATGCTAAACGTGAAATGTAACTGAATTCAAAAGCAACTGAATTAGACTGGATTTAAGATAATAATGAATTAGACTGGATACCAAATAATAAAATGAGCGAATCTCGAGTTCCTCGGGTTTGGGTATTTTTACCTTTTTTAATGACTTTTTGTGACATGAATTTGTCGTAGCTCCGGTGGGTGGTTAAAAAGTGGTGGTCGATTTATTATGTGCCTTGAAAAATTCTTGGAATTTTGTGTCGAAATCGGTCTTTGAAACTGACTTAACTGTTCTAATGATTATTACTTCGTGAAAAGAAATATGTTTATTGAAAGTTTTTGGGTCGAATTCTCATGGGATAACTTTTTATCTTTTCTGTTATATTAGGGATCCCGCGAACAGAAATATTGCTTTTATTTATTAAGCATCATAGATAAGTTTTAATTATCCAAAAGATTTTTTGTTAAATGAATGATTTTGAATTTAATAAGATTGTAACTTTTCTCTAATACAATGGAATTAACAAATTATGAAGGTACCTGGGTGAGGTAAGTTAGAGTACTAAGAATTGAATAATGGATCCATAATGTAGAGGATTTCTATTTTGTGGATAGGTCTGTAAAATACACCTGCAGTTCTCGAACACGATTTTATGTGTTTCCTTTGTCCAATTTAATAATGATTTATTAGATAGGATGGTATATATTTTAATGGAGCACATTTGTGTTTAACTAAAAATTAGCGCTGTTGATCGCTTAAAACTGAAAATGCCTTGCAAAATATTCATACAATATTTGCCATTGATAATAATGTAGGTACCTACTCTGCTTATACATACCATGCATTGAAAGAAAAACCTCTTTTTAAAATAGTGTTCCTTTTATTATCATTTATTTAATATTAATTTTTATAGCCCTTTATTGTTTCTCTGTTAATGCGATTAATTTCTTGTTATTTTGGCTAATAGAAATAAAGACTTATGTTATTGCGTTAATCCTGTAGAACAGTGAATCAAATTTGGTTAATTTGACACCTGTTTCAAATTGATCGTTGAAAGTTTAACGAACAAATTATAAAGTGGATAACTAGAGAGCTTCGAAACAGTGTTTTCAAATTTTCTACCTCCGCATTGTAGAACCGCTGCGAGAGGCGGGTAATTTGCCTATTCAAACAATCATCCGAATGATGTTGAAAGAAACAGAGCCGGAATATGATGACGATGACACAAATTTTTTTACTTTGTTACGGTTATGCAAAAGGTTACATTTTCAGAACTGTATTTTGTGCGCATATGTTTAAGATTTGTGCGCAAATAATTCACAAATGAATTGTTCGTAAAGGCAGAGAATAGGATTTTAAATCGAATTTGGGAAAGTTTAATAGGAAAATCAGAGTTTTTGTTAAATATCTAAACAACCCTTTAAATATATAAATAATGCAGCATATTAAAATAATTTGAAGGCGCTGCCGTTATAGACTAAGTGCCAGCGACCGCCAGACAGACCTATGTTATAGTGTGACGGTCAAGATTTTTTATGTGAGTTCACATTATAGTAGATAATAACGTTTGGGTGTCAAGAATATTGACTACGGGTGGGTTTGCTCGCTTAAGATACCAAAAAATGTCGGACAAAAACGTTATAGCATGAAAGATAATTATTTAATATGTTTAACTGGGTGACAATAATCTCCAATCAACAATTTCCTGTCACTTTTCGCGAGGATTACGTCTGCCAGACGCTTTCAAAATGTCGAAAAATGTGTGGACTTTATGGAAAACTTTTTTATTGTTTATTTGTCAAAAAATGTTATTTTCGATAAAAGTCAGTACATGGGGCCTATTTCATAAAACTATTTTGCAACTTTTCACTTTGCACTTGGCATATTTTACTAAATTTGTTTAATATAAGAGAAATTTGATGAATTAAAAAGTAAAATTTGAAAAGCAATTTGAAAATTAAAAATTAATGATCTGCAAAGTTTACAATATTATTTTATGAAACACAAATTATTTGTATTCGTAAATTTGCAAAATGCAATGTAAAAAGTTGCAAAGAAGTTTTATGAAATAGGCGCCTGACCTAAAACAAACATACTACACATTTCATACATATTAAAACATTTGAACCATATACAAGGTAGATAAAAAAATATGAATTTGGCGAGAATGTTACATAAAAATAATAATATAACGTAGATCTGGCAGTCGCTAGCTCTTAGTCTATTAGAGATAGACCCATACAAAACGTGAATACTTGTTCAAAAAATTAGTTAGAAATTGGATTCATTCACAGTCAATAAACAATATCCACCAAATAGTTGAAAACTATTACTTGTATTTTTTCCATTTTGGTAAATAAGAATGAATAAATTTTATTTTTTAAATAATGTAACAATTATTTTTATTATTTTCTCTAAATACACTTAATTTATTTATACTTACATACTAAGTTTCTTTGATAGTTTATCTTAACTCAACAATATCTAACTATTCACTACTTTTCCAATGGCGAAACAGTCTAGACCTATCTCGAAAATTCTAGACCTATCTCGAAAATTCTAAAAACATCGTTTTCTAGACGGGATTAAGTAACTGCGTTCACAACTTTCTAGATTCCACCCTAACCTCTAGATGACTCGCCATGGTTCTAGTATATTCTAGACAGTAGACAGGTGTATTCACCAAATTTTAGATGTCAATGGTTCACGATGATTGATAGTGATTGCCATAGACGGATCTATAGGGGGGTTTCGGAGGTTGAATTATAATATCGACTATTTTTGGAATTCAAAACAGTGGAGGCCGTAAAAGGTGCAAATATGGCAGAAAAGGACCGGACTGGTCGAAAATGGCTTGCCCGACAATATGCATGTAATTAAAGTAATAAACAATTAACTAGCCAAACAAAGATAGAGTCTTAACGTTAACAAATGGTATTAAAAAATTAGCTACATGGCACGTACAAGCTTGCTTATATGGTCTTTACATGTATATACATATTTAATTTTTATTGTAAATTTATTGATGCCAATAAACATTATATTATTATTATATAATTACTCGAACGTATTGTTTCAGCACCTAAATTATCCATCGACAACTTAGAAAACGGCTATCATGGCATCGTGAAGGAAAACGAAACGGTGGTGGAGGTGACGCCCGTAATTAGAGCGTCGGGCGAACTGTGTCGCTTTCGCATCGTGAATAAGCACCACGGCGAAGCTCCTTTCGACATCATCCTCAAGGACGACGGATACGCCGAACTGAGAGCCAAAAGGGTGCTCAACTGCGAGAAGAGGAAGAACTACAAGTTCGATATAGCTGCGGTCGGATGTAATGGGAAACAGAGCGTTAGGTGAGTACTTCTACAAATATGATATAATAGCAATTTGGTAAAAATCAATTCCACAAAAACAAAATATTCATACCAAATTATATGACAACCGGTTTCGGCTTTAAGCCATCATCAGATCTAAAGAGTAATATGGTATATATAACGCTGAATCGTCTTAAAAAACCTGTCATATAATACTTTTACGCTTAATAGAGATGATATACATTCATGCCGTAAAAGTATAGCTATGCCTCGTACATTTAAATAGGGGTGTGCACGCTGTTGCCAATGTGATCCGTATATAATTGTATTTCATGATAAATACTGTTTTTGATGTAGAGTAAAACGGGGGAATATGGCAACATAAACTTCAAACGCTTACATTCTAACGAACAACCAACTTAGCCGCAAGGAAAAGGTGGCATCTTAGAGCGTGTCTATATGGGTGTCTGACGAGAAAGGCTCGTTGCCATATTCCCACTACGAAGATAGTTAGAAGCAGAAATTTCAGATGATACGCTATTGCCATATTACGCGTACCCTTGGGTAATATGGCATCACGCGTTGGGGACTATGGCAACATGCTTTTCTCGTAAGAAATTAACAATTTTTTGAGATTAGAAAAAATATGTATTCTTTACAACATATCTTATATCTTCAGAGCTCTAGACCTACTTGCTAATTGATTTAGTGGGATACAGTCTGCACAATATGCGTCGGAAGAAGTACATATCTCGTGAACCCAATCATGCCATTTCAGACATTGTAACCAATCACATTCACAAAGTTCTGAATCATCATGTTCCAGTTCTGAACCCTCGCTTTCTACTGTAAGCACTTCCAATTCGCTATCTGACGAACTGGTATCATCAGTAGCCCTTGCAATACGCTTTTTCTTCTGAACAGTAATTGTCTTCTTTTTTCTTTCTTGTCTTCATTACCTTCTTTTCTTTCCTTTTCTTGCTTGTGTTTTATCTTTTCAATTTCCTTTTTTCTTTTATTTCTTTTTTGCGTCGTTTGTCGTTTTTGTGCAATAATTTCTGGAGATTTAAGTAGCTCAGCATGATGTTTCCTTTTCTGACAACCACTTGACCCAGGCATAACTGGAATAGGCGCAATCTCCTCAAATGTTGTGTTGTTGGTCTTCGAGATTACTGCAACGTCATCAATAATACTGACACCGTCGTTAGGAGTATCGGTAGGGATATTGTTAATAATGGAGGCATCATTAGGAATGACATCAACGTTTTCTTCTAAAAAATCGTTAATGGGAATTGTCTCAGGATTTTGCTGAATAAAAGCATGATCTGAAATTATGGTGGTATTAAACGGATATATACCACAGAAACATAATATGTAACCAATTATGTAACCATAAAAATTCGATGAAATTATCAGCAAGAAATAATTTTATTTTGAGATATTTAACTTAGTCCGATATTTTTTTTAAATATAATAATACCATGACCCCTATCGTTACAAATATAATCCTTCTCGCACCTCCCGCGAATTACTGAAATGGAACTAGGGTCAAACAGTGCACCTTTCAACAACAGGCAATCTGAACGGTACTTAAGCGCAGTAAAGTTGCAACAACTAAACAATATAATGAACTTTTAAAATTAAATTTAATTTATATTTCGAATTAAATAAGTAATTACGTTACAAAGATTCATATGTGAATTTTCAATTTCTATTGATGTGATAGTTACTCATCTTCGTTTTACAATATCAATACATGGCTTGGCTTTGGCACAAAACCCATTGTAGTAAAACTACTAATCCGAATCAGAATCTTGATATTATTATTTTGTGAACTTAAAAACGTGGTTCACTAGTCAAAATATTTGGTATAATATATCATTAATTGCCACTGCCACTGGTAAAATCTAAAATTTAAAAAAGGGTATTATAAATAAGACATTAATCATATTTTAAATGGATCGCTTACTACCATGTTTTATAAATAAATAAAGTGTAACTCTTAAATAAATATTTAAGATGTTAATAAAAATTGAATCCAATTTCTCATCATTTATTTCGTATTCTGTCCCGTACTTCCATGTCTCTAATAGCTCTGCTGTCAACTAGTTTTGGTAAGGCATATTAAAATTTTGAATTTTATTTTGCATCTTTTCTTCCCAAAAGCTGTCACTATGAGGAATTTTCTTCACTTTTATTCCTCGAGGAGTCCAAACGCACAAAATACAAAACTCTATTTGTGTAATGTGCAGCTAGCCCTGAATTTGAAAATACCTTGTGGTTCTCCTTAATGGTATCGTCCTTTTCCCAAAAAGTTATTTCCCTACTGCATATTCCTTCTTCTACAGTCAGCACTCTAGCTCCATATGGATATTTTAACTCTGTCATAGAGTTTTGTTATTTGTTTTAAACTCCATCCAGACTGGCAGCAACATAATTAAATTCGGAATCAATAAAAAGTCCACATTTAAAAACTTTTTCTTGCAAATAAATTTTCAAATCTTAATTTTGCTTCGGATTTATTGTCCATGCCATACTGGGTGGCTTTAGCAAAAAATAAAGATTTTATGAGATTTTTTAAAGACGTTTCGTTTTTTTTTACAAATGTCTCCAAATTTTGATGTAGTGACACGTTTTCGTCTTTCAGTGTGCCACAATGCATAAGCAGCTTGATCTCGTGTCATTTTTTTCTCATCTATAGACATTGGCAAACTTTTTAGAAAATCTTCTTTTGTAACGCGTATCTATCTAAGAGTGCGACATATCAAAGCCACGCGCGAAAGCAAGAAAAATGATTTACTTAGTTCGAAAAAATTTACACAAATTAACAGATTACAAAGTTGTTAACATGCTGGAATTAATTATTTTTAAGGTGAATACAGCACCTCTTATAATTTTCGGACAAGGTTATTTCAAAAATAATTATGTTAAAAAATTTAAATTTTGGCAAAATAAATTAGGCAATAATATCTAGAATATGCATATATTTTAAAGTTTTAATTCCTTTTAGTTTCCGAGAAAAAATCAAAGGGTTCTAAATTTTGACATATAATAAAAATAAATGCATTCCTCAACAGCACTATTCTTAATATAATCCCGAAATTTAAGCTCTTAATTACTTGTTAATGATTTTTTAAAATTCTCTAAAATTAGTGGCTAAAAGTGTTGCCAGAAGTCAAAAATAAACATTAAAAGTGGGGTACTCTTAATCGAATAAAAAAAAAAAAATAAAAAAAAACATTTAAAGACAACTCTCCCAAGGCTAAATACTTTTTAACAATACCAGCAGAGCTACGACACTGTCTAATTAATTTTCAAAGCTGTTATTACCATAGTACGTGTAAACAGTTCACGGCGCACACACCGAGCGGTCACGTGAGTGTCCAAAATTTTCGATGGTTCTTCTTATCCAAGGACTCTAACGGGACAAGGAGTTGATGGATTTCCATGTGGAGTAAGACAATTACAAAAACACTTAAAAATATGTTGACAAATGTAGGTGATATAGGTACAAGGATGACACGCAAAATAGTGAAGCGTTCCACATTTTTGGCCAATATTTTTTTTAGCATTAGAAAGTTTTAAGTGCCATGCCCGTAAATATTTGATGTGAGGAATAAGGAATAATTTTAAATAATATTCATTTTTTTCTAAATAAATATCCGATGCCTAATTGCTGTAAGAAAGTCGATAATTAACATTTTCCGCTATAGAATCTAGACTTAAAGCATTACCCATTCCTTATGCATTACCCTGTAGTTACATCATTTCCTGTAAATCGCTCTGTACATAGCTGTATCTGACATTTACAACCGGCGAATTTAAAATTCTGCTTTCGAACATATTGTTAACTAATGTAAACAAATGAGACAAAAGAGTCAGCCATGTCTGTGGATACACGTAACTGAAATATTTGTCTATGCATATACACCTGACGGTATTTTATATTGCGAAACGAATGTCCATTGTCTCATTTCTCATTTTAAACATCCATATTCATACAAACCAACAGGTGGACAATAGTACACATTCTGTTGCATGAATTAAGAGATAATGTTCCATTCATGTATATACCAATGTGAAAGGCATTATGTTAGTTTGAATAAATGTTCTTCTAGTAACATATTGATAATTAAAAATGTATTTGTGTTTACAAATTTTGTGGTATAGTATGTCCATGGATATATCGTTTTACTTTATACATGCTTTGAAAAATGTTATCATTAATAATGTTCACTGCTTTCACTTTTAGATAGATATACTGACATACGATAAAGTCACTGATTGTTCCCTATGGAAAACCACTAAGCTATTGAAAAGGCCCACTGTACGAAGGGCGGCTCCAATACGAATTTTCGGGGGAGGGGGGGGCATTGCCTTTAGATATTCCCTTTTAGCATATTTTTTTGAATAAAAGACTCATAAATCGTAAGAGTTTTCATCTCGGGGGGATCATCTTCTAAATACAATTTTTTCTAAAAAAAAAGGGGGGCTCATTCGAAACTTCTCTATGCTAAAACTTTTCCTCTGTTTATATTTCATTTTATTTTTAATAAACTTAACTTTCCTCTCCCATCTTGTGTCGAATTTCTCTTGCAGAACGAAAAAACCTGTTGTCGGACCCTCCTAACAGCGGTGCCGGGCCCCCATTTTCAGCCCGGGCCCCGGGAATTAGTCCCGGCTACCCCCCCCCCCTCTAGTCGGCCCTGGTTAGGGTTACGTTAGTTTAGTGTAATTAACATATTGGATCCTAAGGTATACTATCGAGTAGAACTGCAGTTTTTAAGATTGCAACATTAGTTAAGTTAGTCTAGAACAAAATTACTTATTGATCAACTTTTGATCAGATTATAATAATAAACGCCCGTTATGAAGTGATTTTACATAAAAAAAAAGATAGATAAACTGCAACCTCCAAATACCTACTCTAACCTAAAAATAACTATTCTTAACCTCCAAATAACTACTCTTACCTCCAAATAACTATCCTAAAGATATAGATAAGATAACTAGGGCTCGTTACCTAAAAGATATATTCCACGAGTACTTTCATTTCAAATTATCTGAGATATACTAATAAGTATGGGCTTTCAGTGAAAAAGTCAGAGGTTGAGGAAGGTCAGCGCTGGATGGCAAAAGCTACGCCGCCATTTGAAATAACAGTCTGATTTTGAAAGTGAAGGTAATTTAACCATTTAACTTATTTTAAGCCAAGTAAATGTACATGTTATTCTATCGATTTCATAAAAAAAAAACTTATTTGTGAATGAAATAGAGGATAATGCTATTGTCACCACTTCCGATTTTTAGTAGAGGTTGTATAACATAAAACAACTACTTCAGGGCTATATTCTCAACAGGACATTGAGTGACATGTGTCATAATGTGTTTGCAACCGATGCAATCGGTACAACAAACTCTTTGATTTTGCATTTGGGGAGCTAACATTCTACGACCGGTTTCGCCCTAATAGAGGCTCTTCAGGCAGAAGCAGCCCGAGTAAAATTTATAATCTACTCTGAAAATAAGTGGACTACCGAACTATAGGTACATGAGGGTCTTACCACTTTCACAAAGTGCGAATAGTCACGCCATTTTCACTCATATGGCCAAATCAAAGTCCGTGATACAGCAGTATAACAAACTGTTTGATTTCCTTGTCGTCTCCAGTTCATGTTTTTCTAACTCTCGACCGTAACTCAGGCACTTTTAAATCACACAGTTTTTTAGCCATTATTGTCCACTATTTATTTACAGTTCCACTTCTAACACCAATGTGACGTTTATTTAATTTATTTATGACGTACTAATTAATTTATATAATACTTAGGCACTATTATAACTCACAATTCTAATTTATTTATTACAATTTATCTTTTCTGTCTTAAATTCAATCTGCCTGTCCGTCGACGAACTCGTGCTATTTATACAAAGTCAACTATGTACTAGTAGTTTCTAGACGTTCTCGAATGTCCGAAATTCCATCTCTATGAATCAACGGCCACGTACCGCTTTTTCTGGTTGTTTCGAGAAGCAGTGCGTTTGTCTCTATATGCCGGCGCTAGACTTCATACCGCGAGCAAGGACTAAACAAAGGATAGGGTAGGCTTTTGCGCAACAATAATATTGAAGACAGTATTGGTAAAAGAAGAACCAAGAGAAGAAAAATATACTCAAGTGACCTTTGCTCTATACATTAGAACTAATTTATGTAAACAACCAATTCTTTACTTAGAATGTTTTTATTTGATTTTATCATTATTAAATAAGTTTTGAGGATTAAGGTATATTATTTCAGTTTTACGTAACCTGTTGAGAAAATTTA